AGAAGGAAAGAGTACACCATATTTATGGAAATTTTAATAATATCATTTGATGATAGTGAATCTATATTCCAATGTGTCGTCGGGTTAGGTCTAATTAATCAAGCTTTGTGTGGATGGAATTAAACTATCGTAAAGCGAATAATGATAAATTTGGATTAGCACTAACTACACATAGAATTTAATAAACCAGGATTAAGCATTGGATACTTGAAAAGTAAAATAAGATTTAATAAACTCATGGTCGTAGTTAGTTACGTACGTACATGTAAAGTGAAGAATGGGGTTAACAAAATGAAAAGAATTGAAGGGTCACAATTGGTTAATACTTCATATTAAAGAATGAATGTGAGAGGCGCACAATATATAATTTCTGTGGCCGTGATGAATTGGCCAAAGAATAAAGATATATGGAAAAAAATTCATTTTCTTTTGTGACAACTGACAACTAAATGTATTCAACTAGACTGTGTAAAATTGTTGAGAGCAAGAAGTAAACCCAAATAATTAAGAGTATGATTGTTTATCGCGAAAAAAGATAGAAATACGAATGCGGGGAATATAAAAGTTTACAGGTTTTCAATCGAAATTGTGATTTCAAATTTATTTTACATGTACTTTTAGTCTTTTACCGATATTTGCAAGTTGAGCACCAACATGCATGGCTCCACTACTGATTGTCTATAACCTTTTCTTCCACCCGAGATTAAAGCCGAAGCAAAACCTCTCATGACTGAGATGCATATGAATTGTATGGCCGACTCATGTTGTTTTCTGCTTGCATGTTCTAACTTTTTATGTCAATCGATCTTACTCGTATATGATTTTGGCATTGCATTGATGGGATTGGTATCGTGACATCCATCCTCATGACGAACCCTCATGTATCAAGGTTGAAGTCATTTCTCGAACGAATTGGATAATTGCAAATTCTCTAGTTAGGTCTTATTAGCAACCTAAATAATTTTATCAGGATTCTTTGATGTTAATCTGGCATATCCCAAACCGAGAAAGCTTTTTAGCCTTTTACCAGCAACCAATCCTTTTGGAAAGTTGCATGCCAATCAATCAATCAATCAAGCCTTTCGACCGATCTTTTGATTTTGTTTGCTTTGCGGCATTATTATTGCTTTGATTATAATTATTAGTTATCGTAACTTTCTGTGAAGCCAATCGATTATATATTTCATTTTCATTGTACAGAAAATAATGTTGGGATTAGTTTTCTAATGAAACCACACTTGACTAGTTGACTTCACAACCAGTCACGACTTATTAATTAGCAATCACGCCCCCACATGATGATGATGTAATGGTTTTAATTTGTTAATTATTCGTCACTCTAACTAGGTGATCATGAAACTAACTATTTCTAAGTAGATTCATAAATGCATTATTTTAAAGAGATATTGTGGCTTAGATCATGCAATAAATATAAGTATGGCCGGCCAATGCCTCATCACTCAATGACTAAAATAAACACCAATACATTGTAAGGAAGATAGTTAAAATCAACCCTAACTATGGCCGGCCAATTCAAGATGTATCTATCTATAAGGAAAGGAGCTCGTCGTGATTTTGCTTTGACACCAAACTAACCGTAAAAATCCGAATTGCACAAATTTAATGACGCATTTATACTAGAAATCAATCCACCGTACATTAATGTTAAACAAATGTATATAACACGCACATTGATTTATTCCATGTCTTATCTACCCATCAACTCAACCGAATTTGTCTCGTTGAAGTTGCCCATACCACCTATAAAACTTAAACAGCTTGGCGATGGACGGAAGCCAAAACTAACCCACTCAAGAACATGTGCTTGTGTTGTATTCTGGTGCAGACAACAACAATTGTAGTAGTAATAACAAGCATGTATAAAGGTTTCCGTAAATAAATGGATGTCAATTAGTCACCACGGATTAGTAAATAAATGGTTGACAATGACATTTTTTATACAAAAAAAATTGGGGAAGTATGTACTCCAACCCCATCATATACTAATCGAATATATCATGTAAAATTTGAGCCGACATTGCAACTTAATAGTACTGTATTCACAATCGTCAATCCGTTATTAGAGTTGTGTTAGACTTACTGGCTCGAACTCGACCGGACCACTCACCAGTACTTGATACCTCTATCCCTATGGTATAGCTTGGCATGCACATTGTCGGCATTGATTTGATATTGTTATATGAAAGAAAAGGATAGATGAAATGAAATTGAATTAAATAGAACGAAAGAAAGATATGAGCATGACCATCTGACCGACTACTGAAGAAAGAAATCAAAGGGAGGGTGAGAAAAAGAAAACAAATGAGAGAGACCACAAACTGTGGGGAGTGTGAGCGAAGGGAGTTGGGAGGTCTTGGTCCCAAACTGTGGGGAAACATCCATCACCACGTTAAAATAATATATACATATTCAATTTAGGGTTTGGTTTGGATGGTGGAAATCTTGTCGGTGTAGCTAGCAGTCTGGGTGCTAGGTTCTATACAGTACTACTCATCAATCATTTCGCAGGCCAATATATATCTCCATCTGCATCTTCCCTTTGAGTACAAGTTGCACCATTTAGTATCTCGTTATATTTACGGCTTTTAAGGTTATTCTCGGAGGTGAAATTATTACTAAGATTGAGCCGAGCCGACGAAGATCATTTATTATCAAAAGAAATGGTTTGGAAAATGGAATCGATATGGTAGTTCTACAAAAAGATCGGCGCCAAGATCTAGCTTACACAAATACACAACAAACCGATCACACACATACTCCGCATCTAATACATGTTGCTACAATACTAGAGATTGATGCTCTCTATATACTTGATTCCTATTAGTTGGGCGGAAGAGTGTACTTTCTCCTAAAATATCCTGCGGATCATAGGTATAAATTCAGCGTCCCAAGCAGCTGCCACCGCCCGCCATAAGACTTGATTCTATTCATTACAATTTACCTAACTATCGAGTAAGTTTACAAGTAACAGTGAACCACGTTTTACACGTGAAGAAATTAAGTGTATTAATCCATCCAACAAATTAAACCCTTTGGATTATTTTTACCCACCCCAACGCCCTTTCTGTTTGCAGAAACGAAGGATGATGGACGGGGAAGAATCCACGTTGGTCAAGTCCAAATCATTTTCTTGATTAGACAATGTGAGGTGAGGTATCCCAAATCCTTCACGATTGAATTACACATACACGTGATTTCTTGATCTCATCAGAAGATGCCAATTATTTAGCAAATGATTAATTGTTTGTCGGCAGTGCACCAAAAGTAGACCACGTAGGTAGAATTTTTTGTTACGGGAAAGAGATAATGCAGAATTAATCTATATAATATAATTGGATTTTAAATATTAATAGGAGTGAGTTAGGGTTTGACAAGTATAGGGGTGTCTATAGATCCGGTCAAGGAGAACCACGGTTCAATAGTAAGATATATTTATGAACTAAATATTGGATTAATAGTGTATTTGGTCTGTTTTGATCCGATTTAAATGTCAACTCGATTCATTTTTCTTTTCAGTATTTATAAAATTCATGGGACCAATGATTCGACCGTATTATAGATGTTCACCTATAGATGTTCATGGGACCAATGATCCGGTTTGAACATGCTGAGGATAATCACCTATAGATGTTAGTGTCTCAATGATTCGACCATATTATCCTCAGCATCTATAGGTGATTATCCTCACCAACTCGGTTCAATGCGGTTCAGTCCAAGCGCCAGTCTGGTCTGTTGTGGATCGAACCGTTGCACACTCCTAGACAAGTAGGAGAGGTTATCATTTCCTAGTTGGTGTTGTTATTTATCTGTATAATTTTGATTATTTTCTTATAAGCAGTGACATTCTTTAAAAAAATCGTTAAATCAACCTATGTCTAGAGATATGTCGATCTTACCGAAGTAATTTATATCTATTTTCTAAATTGTTTCACAAGGTAATGTTTGCTAGTAGTTTTTGAGACACTAACATCTATAGGTGATTATCCTCAGCATGTTCAAAACGTTTGCCGGTGTTCCATATGCTGAGAGGAGCTAGCATCTAGTCGTTAGAAGGTTTTGTGGCCTGTAAAACGTCTAAACATCTTGGACTTGATTTATAGGCATAAGATGACCTTGAAAGTTGGCATACCACCACTTAGCTTAAGTTTGCTTTGAGTGCCCAGTCCCTTAAGTGTACAGACCAAAAAGTATTATTCATGCTTGCTCTACCTTTGAACATGTTTAAGTTTAGAGTTCTTATACAAACATATTTATTTCACCCAACAGTTAAGATGTCATTTACCTAACATGTTACATTCGCCTTCATAAAAAAAAAATCTAAACTATGGACGATAGCAACAATTACGAAGTTGCTCAAATCCGATGAAGTTTCTGTCGGCCAACCCAAGCATCTACAACTCATTGGACTCGGCTAGAATGAGGCCGAGAAAGTTTGACCGGGACGCCAGGCCCATGCAGCTGGGCTTTGATCCACCAAATAATCTGGCTGACCAGCTCGATTGGCCCATTGTGTGTGTGGGAGTATGAATGCACAAAGCATATGCATCCCTTTCTTCTCCATGCCAAGGCTGAACAGAACCTCAAGAGACATCAGTAAGTCACGAGTAAGTAGATAGAGAGACGACCGATATGGCATAAAACCCAAATCCTTAATTGGGACGTAGGGTCGAGAAAGCGCCATGGAATTGAAAATGCTGTTTTGGTTAAGTAAAGTCTCACGAGTGATCTGTGAAAAAGTGGGACTTTAGTAAACAGAACAGCAGTGTTAGGCCAAGTTAGGTGGCAGGCTGTTAGCTGCAGACAGAGAGAGAGAGAGAGAAAGACGCACAAATATGGAAACTTTGAAATTTCCTCACTTTCATATGTCCTTTATATTGATTTCTGAGCAAAAAAGTTTTCAAATTTATCAACTCGTGACCCACGTACCCATCATTAATATTCACTATACCCACCGGCACCAAACTCCATACTCAGCTACAAAGCTAGCTTCTTTCCTTTCATTCTCCTTTCACATTCCTCCTCCATTACCTTGAAAAGAACTCAACTCCACGAGAGCTAGCTGAGGAAGGGAGATAGATCTTTGATGGGGGGAGTTCATCAGATCAACACCATCGCACTCTACATCACAATCTGCTGCCTAGCTTTCATCCTCTCCAAGATCACCATCGCAGTCCTCCTCTACAAAAGATGGAGAAACAAGCAGCACCACTCTGTTCATCAAGACCCCCATTTGGCAGGTTCTTTCTTTGTGCCTAGCTACAACTCTATAGGTAAATCTTATGTCATGGGGATTAGTACTTAGAGAGACAATTTTCTTGTGTGGGTATGTTTGTAGGTGGGAAGGTGGTAATGTTCAAGTCAGGGACAATGCAGTCCCCAGAGGTAACCCCACAAGTGGTCCTGAAAAAAACCATGAAGTTAACTAACAAGGACATGATCGGGTCCGGTGGCTATGGAACCGTCTACAAGCTGTCCATAACCGAGTCCATTTCCTTCGCGGTCAAGCGGCTCAGCAGAGGGAGCCCCGACAGGGACCGGACCTTCGAGAGGGAGCTCGAGGCAATGGGAGATATCAAGCACAGAAACATTGTCACCCTCCATGGCTACTACTCTGCCTCTCACTACAACTTGCTCATCTACGAGCTCATGCCCAATGGGAGCCTGGATGGACTTCTGCACCACCCAAAGGAGGGGGGAGAAGAAGAAGAGTTGCAGAGGGTTGTGCTGGATTGGGATTCCAGGTACAGGATTGCAGTTGGTGCAGCGAGAGGGATATCGTATCTTCACCATGATTGCATCCCTCACATAATTCACAGGGACATCAAGTCTAGTAACATACTTCTGGACCAGAATATGGAAGCCCGGGTCTCGGATTTCGGGTTGGCTACTTTGATGGAGCCTGACAAAACCCATGTCTCCACTTTTGTTGCTGGAACTTTTGGCTACTTGCCTCCAGGTATCCAAATCCGTTGCGCCAAGCTTAGTGCTGTTAATGTGTTTGATGGGTATATATGCTTCTTTCTCATTGCACTTTCTTTCTTCATGGTGTATAGAATACTTCGACACAGGCAAGGCAACTGCGAAGGGGGATGTATACAGCTTTGGGGTTGTTCTGCTTGAACTTCTAACTGGAAGGAAGCCAACGGATGAAGCCTTCTATGAGGAAGGCACCAGGCTAGTGACTTGGGTACGTAATTCAACATTCATATTTCCATTGATGCATGTGTCGGACATCGATTGTTTGTAGGCATTGAGATTCTCACCCTCATCGGTTTGAATGAAAACAGGTGAAGGGAGTAGTTGAAGACAAGAGAGGAGAGTATGTAATTGACAGCAGCTTGAAGTGCAGCTCCTGTCATAATATGGACGAGATCAATGGCATGTTCGAAGTTGCATTCGCATGCCTGGAACCTGACCCTTTCAATAGACCAACAATGGCCGAGGTGGTTAAGATGCTAGAGCTACTAAGATGCGGTTGAGCAGCACAGCTGTTGAAGTAGAAGAAAAAGAGGAGAACTCTGTCAAAATTTGTTATGATAGATCTTCCAGCACAAAGTTAACAGGCAATAATTTCAATTACCAACACTTACAGCTGCTGGAATGGAAACCACTTTCCTTTTTCTACATAACATAAATTTTTTGCTCACTTGCTCTACAAGTAACACTAAACTGGAAACTAGCCAAAAATGGTTGCATGATGTGTTGTTCACTTGTGACCCACTGCCAGCCCGGTAGCAACAGACATTTTCAGGGAGGGAGAAACAGGAGAGTCTCCAAAGAACACATCGAAAAGGGCTGCAGCCACATTCGTCGATTCTATCGTTGCATCTGCACCAGAAGATGTGTCGCCATCCACGCAAACCTGGAAACCAGCAAATGTCAATCAAGATCATGAAAACTGGGAGAAATAAAATAATGTTCTGCATAAATGTGTTGTGACAAACACTCACATGCATTTTAGAGGGACCCAACCATGTCAAGAACAAGACAGTTCCTTTGCTAAGAGGCCGGTTCTCAAACGTGGCTCGGAGCTTGGCTAGAGCAGGCTCATCAGCTTCGGCGGGTGCTTTGATCCTGGGCGAAATAGCTTCATCCAATGCGTCCCAGAATGTTTTTCCGTCAACATCTCTTACTAGAACAATCCTCAGTGCTTTCTCCGAGGGAGCTGCATAAATGAATACGCTCACGCTGTAAAATTTACTGTAATATTCGTTTTAGAGCTGGTTAATGACATGCATTACCAAGGAAAATGGAGCTGAACAATGATGAATTCGCTTCGATCTCAGCAGCTGACAGATCTTTCCAAGCAGTCAATATAGTAAAGATAGATTGATCAACATACAGTCCCGCAGCATAGACTTTGACCCCAATGATGGCAAAAACCTTCTCTCTGTATCCTGGAAAAGAACGACATATTGTTATAGAGCTGTCAGTTTTTTCAGAAACTAAGTTCTAAAATTCAGTTCTGCAGAGAGCTCATCATGCATTTATCGAGCTTTAACTAAATTAAGCAGTAGCGCAAAGGGTGCTTCTAACTAGCTTGGGGAGTTTCCAATATATGATGAAGAGGCAATTGATCACGACGGACAAATGGAAAATAAAATTTCTAGAACAGATAACAATAACTCTAATTGTACTGACCAGTTCCGAGCAAGGATAGCGAGCTTGATGTACAACCTGGCACTTTCAAGGACTTCGGGAATTTCACATTGGTTGCAGGTTCCTCCAAGTATTCTGTAGTTCCAGCTGTGAGGCAGTCCCAAAAGAAAAACAGATCAGACTGGGGGATACAATAGGAGAGTAGCCAGGGCTTTAAACAGCCATCTCTAGTAAAATCCACGAAAGAAGAGCATGCAATGTTGTGATCCAAGAATCACCACAAGCCATTAGATTCCGATAATCCTCACCAGAGGATCCAGAGAGACATGTGAGTGACAAAATGGAACTTCAATATTGGTTAATAATCTCAACATTCGTGCTGTCAATACTATTAAGATTTCACAACATCCCAAGCAAGCTATTAAAGGAAAACAATGGCTTGCAGGAACACTGGAAGGACAGGGTTCACAAAGAGGATAACTACTTGTGCATAGCATTATGAGATGAAATGAAACATATTCTATTTTGACTAACATTCAGCAAGTCTTGCAGTGACTGGAACAAATTGGTTCTCAACATTGTATCAAAGCCTTTGATGACTGGTCATGTGATTCGAATACTAACTTCCAACATCAGTGCTTGATTTAAAGTTTAAACACAGTATAACAAAATCTGCTAACTTCAAACACATTTGTGGGCTTTCAATTAGAGAAACATGCAAAAGGAAAAGAATGTATGATTCATTCTTGAGTTACTGCAACGAACCAGAACCGGTTCTCGACACCCTATACCGGTTGATGATCCGTGATACCACCCACATATCGTCCAACAATTTTCACAGGAATGACATTCAGATCGAGGACATCCAAGCACAAAATTTTCTGTATCTGGCGTCCGGCTTACATGATTCTCTTGCTTGACACACATTGCCAAATTCATGCATGCATACACGAAAAGATTCAAGCTTTTGAGCAAAAATTCCCCCAAAACCAAAAAAAACTGATCACTTATTCTCTAGAATCCCAACAAAACAACGAAAGGAAATGGAGAATCCGGCCATGCATGAACATCATAATGAAGAATTGGGGAAATAATCTTGAACACAATTACCTGCAGATGAAGAAGCTTTCAGGTAATGGGAATGTCTGGGACTGAGTCTGAGATTGTTGATCGGGCGAGCCGCGGAATGCTGCAGATGGAAGAATGCTGTTGTGGATAAGGGAGATGAGGAGTTGGAGACGGCGATGGTTCTGCGGCGAAATGGGACACCCGGGTCGGGTCGGATACAAGCTGCTAAAGCCGAATTCCAGGGTTTGACGGAGATCGGAGTGGAAATCATTGAACCCACCATTTTTGTTTGGCCTGTTGGTGTTCTTCAGTGTTCCCTCTTGCTCTGCTTCAATGAATAGAGTCTCTAAGTAGGCGATTGGGGTTTATACTTAATACCGATGGGGAAAGTAAAACCCCGCGGCCATTTAGGATCGAAGGTCGTTAATAAGCTTTTATGGGATTTTACTTTCTTAATTCTGTGTTTGTCCGTATTTTTTATTTTGACTAATTAATCCCTTGTTTGTTGGATCTATAACCACTATTCTCTTGGGGAAAATGTTGCTATATGAAATCCTCAATTTATAGAGTGTGTTTTAGATGTGTAAGATTATATGGGGGGACAAATTATGTTCTAGGTTTAACATTGGATGGTATAAATGAGACCACCTAGAAATGTCTACTAATTTTAGGTTAATGAAAAACATGCTATTGAGTTTGTCTGATCCTATATGATAGTTTAGTACGAGATCAAACACAATCCCTACTGGTTCAATGACGTTAAGAGTTGGTGTTCCCTTCTAAATTTGATGACAAAGGCATTAACTTGTTAGGTTTATTTTGTGTCCCTTAACAACCTCGCATGTCACACTTATTGGGTATTAGTTAGCGTTCAACTAATTGAAACAACTTTGTGCACGAGTTGAATGTTACCAATACATATTTTGTGATGTAACATGTACCTTGTGGTTGTGTACCGTATAAATTAGACACATATCTAAGGATGAATCAAATGAAAATCAGAGGAAGTTAAGTGATGACGATTTGATTACCTGATCAAATTAGGATATTAGATCAGTAAAGAAATCACTAGCAAAACGTCATTTGTGGTGAAATGGAGAAAGTTGATTCAACCGGTCACCAAAGCCACATAAAAAGGCTAACCCAAGAAAGTAAAAGAGGGTTATTGTGACCAACCAGAAATCCTGGTTTAAAGGCCACATTATTAAACAATGAGGAGATTAATCAGAAGGAGAATGGCATCACGTGTGACTTGTCAATTGGGTTTGGAATCAGTTCCAATTAATTGTTCGTCCCCAAAAGTCCCCACCCACCACCGCCACCACCGTTAGCTCGCTCCCTCGCTTAACGGCTATTGAGAATTTGAGATTACGCAACACGAATTCCAATTATAGCCGTTCGGAAGCTGCCACCAGAAATTTGGCTCCTCCTCTCCTCTGACGGTGGCTATTTAAACCAACAACTCTCCGTTTCTTTGCTTTGCTGCAAAAGAATCCTATATAGACAGACACTTCTCCTTCTTCTCCTTCTTCTCCTTCTTCTTCTTCTTCTTCTTCTTCTTCTTCTTCTTCTTCTTGCAGCTGCTTACAGTCACCCACTGCCTACTTCAGTTCAACAGAGTCTTACTGTTGTGGGCGGCAGAGCAATTAGTGATCCATGGCCCGCTTTCCTTTTCTCCTTGCATTGTGCTTTGCTCTTTGTAAGTAAACTTAATTCTCTTTCTCAATTGGTATTAGGACGTCTTAACGCAATTTACAGTCGTTAAATATACACCATGGTGACAATCTTACACCGTGATTCGGTGTGGTGGGGGATATTTGATTGATGCCATTAACTAAAGAGACATGCATGTTGTAATTGCAATTGCAGGTGCAGGTTTCGTCATAGGAAATGACCAGGTATGTATTTTCATGTCACTCATCTTTAACAAAAGGGCTGATCTTTGAGAAATATCAATAATGTTGTTATATGTAAGGTCAGTGATTGGTTTACTTGGCCTGCCTTCATTCTCGAGGAGGACATAGGTTGATCAATTCTTGACATTGTTAGGGATGATTGAAACAAATGAAATGTCACTTTGATCCCCTTGTTAGCTTAATTTTAATTGGCATATGGACGATGTAATTGTGTGCAGGCGGGAAGTAGTAGTTGTTGGTGTGTAGCAAAACCATCGTCGGACCAAGCAACGTTGTTGGCAAACTTAAATTATGCGTGTTCTAAGGTCGACTGCCAGATTCTGCAAAAAGGGTGTCCCTGTTTCTACCCCGAAACCCTCATCAATCGCGCCTCCGTCGCCATGAATCTTTACTACCAATCTCGAGGAAGAAATGCTTGGAGCTGTGATTTCAGAGGCTCTGGTCTTGTTGTTCTGACTAATCCAAGTAATATTGTTTGTTAATTTGTATCATTTAAATTTAATTTCCAACCTTTTTGTTCATTTTTTCATTTCAATATCTTGATTGTTTTGATGTGTAAGATGTGTTCCTTTTAATCTCTGATGATTGCAGGTTATGGCAATTGCATTTACGCTTGAAGATGGTAGCCAACAAATCAGGAACTTGATGGGTGTCCTATAATCAAACAACAAATTGTTATCTTATAATTGTTTTTAGTTGCTTGTTGTCTATCAATGTAATTGATACAAGTCCCTCCTTAAATGCAGACCAACTGTCAAGTCAATCCTGTATTAATCATCCTTTGGATTTTATCATGACATACTGATGGATAATATAGTTGATTAGAAAATGTACCAAGAAGGGATTAATGTAGCATTGATGGACGATAGTTGAATGAGAGCGAAATCGAAAGTGTTAGAGAACAAAATTAAGAGGAAATTGAATATGAGTTGGGAAAGAACTGAAATAAAATGGAGAGAATTTGAAAAGATTCGAAAAATAATTAAAAGAATATCTTACAATTTCATTATCCGATAATAATTACAAAATTGGTAATGTTTATTACATAGACTCCAATTCGAAACCTTAATAGATGTACACATAGAATAATCCTAAAACAATGGTCTTCCACCTTACATGCAACAAATGTGTTCAAACTACAAGCATAAACAAAATGTGGCAAATAGGGCCATTGCCAAAAAAATGAACTAAATTTGGAATTAGAGCATAATAACAAGTACAGGGGAACAAGAAAAATAAGAAAAATCTAAACCAATGATTTTATTCTGGCCCTTAGGACCGCTGTTTTTGTTTGGTGATACACTGATACTGATACTGATACTGATACTGATACCATATTCTCCATCTCGTTATCATTACAAAGGTCTAAATTTCTTTTGGGAACGGATTATTACAATAATTGTCCTGAAAAATTTCACTGGCCTCACAAACTTGATGAAATAACCAAGGCCGTAGAGATCCCAAATCCTCTTATGTGGGCTTCTCCGATCCACTCAATTTCAACTCCACTCCCTCCTCTTATAACAACCGGAAACAAGATGCTACTGTTCAGCTTGCCTTCCTTCTTCTTTTTCTTCTGTTTTTTCAATCTCCCCCTCTCCTCCCACTCCAGATTTCCAGGTCGCCCGTTTCGCTTCTGTAGTTTATCTTCACAATTGAATCCAATTTGCTATCTGGGACTTCGATTTGGCAGCCAAAGTTTCGAGCTTTTTGGGTTTCCCCCTTCTGGGTACTTCAGAAATGGCGTCATTGACAATGGTTGACTTAGTGGGTTGCGCATCCACTTCTTCTAATGCTTCATTAGATAGGTATCTGTGGCGGAAAACAATGCACAGCTCAGTTTCCAAAAGGTTTCATGGAGTCCGCGGTGCTGGAAGATTGGTAACTTGCCGTTGCCGTCTAGATTCTGCTCGGTGCAGAAGCATTTCCATAAAGAGCGCCGACACTCGGCCTAATGGTACTATATGTTATGCTTTGCTTTGCTTTTGCTGTGGCAAGAGGGAGGAAAAAGTTATCTTCTTTGACCTTTTTTATTTTCTGTTTGACTTGGATAACTGTTTTCTTGCTACTTGTGCCTTCTATGAGGACTTTGCTAACGTTTGAGGTTTCCTGTAAACTTTAGTTCTTTGTTCTACTGGTTAGTTACTGTGCCTTTTTCTAGTAAGTAGGCAATCCAGCCGTAGCCATTTCCCAGAAAGGAAGGGAGTAGTAATATGTGTAGTATCCAGCCATGTTGGGCTGAACTTCACTGCTTGCTTTTCTCAATTGAGAAGTGTTTCCTTCCGCTTAACTTGAGTTTCAATTGCTCTCTATGTTATGATCAATCTTTTTGGGCTGGGTTGACTTGATTTCTGTTCATCATTTGCTTCCGTAATACTTACTTAGTCCAAGAGTATTGAAATTTTGTTTGCTCCAGGAACTTCAGAAGTCATGTTGAATGTAAAAAGAGGTCAAATTTCACTGGCGAAGGTGTTCGAGGTGGTAGCTGATGACCTACTGATCCTTAACCAAAATCTAAAATCAGTGAGTACTTCAACTTTCTAAGAACTGGTTTGTATTTCTATAGTGAATGAGCGATGTTTTTAATGCCTTGGAGTATGTTGTTCTTAGCTGTGCTATCTATTCTGCGCGGTACTTTGCTTGTTATGCAGTGAGGATGTGCGGTTGATAGAAAGAATTTGATTATATGCATTCAGGAGCTTTGTTGCCCTTGATTGTCTATGATGGTTGCTGTGCATGGCAAGCTGCTGAGTTGAAATGAGATTAAACGCTGTAATTTTTCATGATGCAGTTGATTTCATAGAAATTACTAGCATTATTGCTAGTAAAATGTTTGTGTTACAAAATTAGAGCTGGCAGCTGACTTTTACAAACTGTTGAAGTTTATGATCTAAGAACTAGATAGCCGATCATCTAGAGGAAGAGAGGGTTTCTGATTCTGACAGTAAACAGCTTCAGTATTTTACATAGAGTTACTTAAAGGTGTAAAAAGAAGAGATTTCATTCGTAGTTTTGCATATGATTGACTCTGTTACAGTAGCTCTATTGCTCCCTGGGAGACCTTGTACTGTTTATCATGGATATACTTTTTCTGGTCAGTAAGCTATGAGAGGTTGTTCATTGTTGAATTGTTGTCATTTCTGTAGCCACTAGATTGAGCCTGTGGCTGAGCTAGAATTTGGTTAATAGATGATGTCCTAGGCAAAGTTCCTTCTATTCAAAACCATCTCTAAGTGCCTACCTAGTTGATACAATGTCAAGTAGAAAAGACGAGTTTACTGTGACAACTTTACCTATCTCCTACTTGGTACATTGAGTTGCATTTATGCTGACTACTCACATGACGAAGATCTTTGTGCTAGATTGTTGGAGCAGAGAACCCGGTATTAATGTCAGCAGCTGAGCAGATATTTGGTGCTGGTGGGAAGAGAATGCGACCAGCTCTAGTTTTCCTGGTGTCAAGGGCTACAGCTCAGATGTCCGGTTTAAAGTTAGTTCGACCGAGCATTCTCTGCGGTTCGAATTTTGAACTTCCAATTAGATTGTACAACAAATATAATGCAGTATTTCTTTCACAGGGAACTTACTACGAATCATCGACGTCTGGCAGAGATCATCGAGATGATCCATACAGCAAGCCTAATACATGATGATGTGTTGGATGAAAGCGACTTAAGAAGGGGTATGTGACATACTGGTTAAACTCTTGGAATATCCCTTTACGCCATTTTATTCAAGTTATTTTCCAATTTCTTGAATGTGTTGTTATCTGACACTGTGCTTTGCAGGGAAGGAAACAGTTCATCAACTGTATGGTACAAGGGTAGCAGTACTTGCTGGGGATTTCATGTTTGCACAGTCATCATGGTACTTAGCCAATCTTGAAAACCTTGAAGTCATCAAACTGATCAGCCAGGTATAGTCTGGTAGACCTCCGTTTCTCGACTAATGGCAGCTATGTGTTTATACAGACTAAGACTAAACTGGAAATTTTAATGTTGCAGGTGATCAAAGATTTTGCTAGTGGCGAAATAAAGCAAGCATCAAGCCTGTTTGACTGTGACGTCAAGCTTGAAGAATACCTGATCAAGAGCTACTACAAGACGGCGTCTTTAGTCGCAGCTAGCACCAAAGGATCCGCCATTTTCAGCGGAGTACACAGCAGTGTGTCCGAGAGCATGTTCGAGTACGGTAAAAACCTTGGCCTATCGTTCCAGGTTGTTGATGACATACTTGATTTCACACAGTCAGCAGAGCAGCTAGGGAAGCCAGCTGGGAGTGACCTGGCAAAGGGGAACTTGACTGCACCGGTCATATTCGCTCTGGAGAAAGAGCCTAAACTCAGGGACATTATTGAGTCTGAATTCGTCGAGGAAGGCTCTCTCCAGCATGCCATCGACTTAGTCCAGAGATGTGGAGGAATCCAGAGAGCACAGGAACTGGCCAAGGAGCAAGCTGTTACTGCGATCCAGAACCTCCAGTGCCTTCCTCAAGGATCCTTTCGTTCTGCACTCGAGGAAATGGTTCTGTACAATCTCGAGAGGATTGAGTAAACGAATGCACGCGGGGTATATTACTGCAAGTGTGATATTAGGATGAACCGAATCTTGATAATTACTTGCAGCGTAAGCTACTTACTGCATAACACGATGGTATACACAATAAACTGGGCAGAATGTAGAACAAGCCCCAGGTAGCCGGCAGATCAGCAGATCACGACGATGCGTTTACTGCTGCTGGCTGGCCAATTGGAAGATTCTTGTGGCTGCTTTGTAGATTCATAGCTTCAGATTCTTCTGCTGGAAATGTAATATTCAATGAGGTTAACTATACAGTATACACAGATATATTTTCCCACTATTTTTTCATGCGTTATTTTTGTTCCTGCAGGAAATGATTTTCTTTTAAGAATCTTAAATTTAGCTGTAGATTTTCGAGCACCAATATTGTTTGTATCAATTTGTCGTCAATTTATCCTGTTTCGATTTTGAGAGTACGAAACGTTTCGTGTTGTATGATGCTGTCCCACGTTTCGCCTTTAATAATGTCTTTTCAGCCCGCTTTGCAGGTTAGGCATTACGGGCTACTGAATAAATGGGCCTGTCTTAACAGAGCAGATCCAACAAGGCCTGTGAAATTTTGGATTTTGGACGATTCAAGGGATGAGTTCGTCCAAAACAAAAACTCAGTGTAAACTTCCCTAGCTACCTCAAAATTTAGTGTCCGTTTATGTAATTTACCTCAGAGGTTTATTGTAATTTTTTCTTCTTCAACCCAAGTCAGGCGCCGGCGGCTACCCCAATATCTCAGCCGCTCGCCCGCGCCCCGCATCCCCTACGCCCGATTATGAAACTTCTGAGCTATATCAAGCAATGGAAATCCGCCGCTCGAGAAACTATAGCTCGAGCTTCAATCGCCGCCCAATTCCTTTCCTTAATTCACATCACCGACGCCTACATCTGTTCCACAACTCTCGTTCAAGGGCCTAGCATGCTCCCGACCTTGAATTACTCAGGCGACGTGGTCTTGATCGAACACTTGTCCCATCGTTTGGGGAAGCTCGAACCTGGCGACATTGTGGTGGTTCGTTCTCCCGTTGATCCTAAAAAGATTGTGGCTAAACGGATTGTTGGAATGGAGGGCGATCGAGTTACTTACCTCACGGAGCCTTCGTACAGCGAGAGCTCCCGCACTGTCCTAGTAGGGAAAACTAGGGTTCCTTATTCAATGTTTCATTCTTGTGGGCTGTTGTTGCTTCGTGGGTAGAGAGGCTGACTCAGTGAATTTTGGTTACAGGTTCCAAAAGGCCATGTTTGGATTCAAGGAGACAATGTCTATGCTTCTGCTGATTCCAGATATTTTGGTGCTGTTCCTTATGGTTTGATTCAAGGAAGAGCATTTCTAAGGGTGAGTATCTCTTTCTATCTTGTTACCATCTTTTCACTTGGTTTCTGCTTCTGAGCTGAACTTGCATCTGAAATCTGAATGTGATTGAAATTAGAGAAATCCTCCATGGTCATGGTTATGTCTCATCTGGAACTGGAACTTACAAATTGGTCCGAGTTTCTGGCTATGAGATTATGGTAGGGTTTATTCTGAGTGGCTTAGTTTGAAAGGAAGTTTTTTGAACAGGAAAAACATGTAGGAGAGGTAGAAGTTTTCAGGATCTATCTATAGAAGCTGCATGCAAAGCATTACATCTTAGAGATAGAGTTGAGTGTTGATATTGCAGTGCTCGGGTATTCTATAAATTTACTGTCTTTGGATTGCTTTTGACAGATTGGTATTTGACTATTTTCGACGTGTTTAGATTCTGTTACTTCTCGAGTCTCGAGTCTTCTATCGACTACAAATTGGTTATACCAAAAGCTCTTTACGTCTTTCTCATGGCAGAACAGCTCCTCTTTCTGCTCGCTAGAGTTAGTCCTATCTTCTTGTTTTCTAGAATTGAACTAGGGGAATCCTTTTATTTCACATTTTGTAGAGGCAGGACTTCCAAAGCTGCATATATTTGTCACAGAGTTGAGTAAATCTTCCTACTGTTCAGTTTTTATGACGATTTCAAAAGTTCTTGAGAATTCTAGGCTTAATGCTACATTTCCATGAGCACTTGATTCTGGTCTCTTCAGCTTCAGTTAGAATATCATTTAGGAAAAGTCTGTCAACTGTTACAAGCCAGAACGTTAGTGGCTATCTATAAACTAGCCTCTCCATTTACCACTAGAGTTATTGGTCTTTAGTTTCAGTTAGGAAATATTTATGGATTCTCGGTGAACGCCATTTTGTTTGAACATTGACTAACTAAAGATCTAGGTTAAACCTAGTCCATCCGTGAAACTCTTATGGGATTTTGAGCCCCTTGAAGGTAATGAAATTATACTGCTTCAAAGACCTTTCCCTCTAGGCATGAGAACAAGAACAACTTTGCCTCATCATTTTTCTGATATATGATTCAGAGCATAACACATTATTATATCTACGACTAACATCAAAGTTGCAATTTTAACCTTTTGATGGTTGGATATTGATGTAATTCCCCTGAAGAAACAAAATTCATCCTTGTCGTTTTTTCACCAGGTTTGGCCAATTCAAGACTTCGGCTTTTTGGGATGAAGTTGCTTGAAAGGTATGCAGTTGCCTGGGTTCGTAATCCTTTGTTCAAGGTTTCCTATGATTCACTCTTACTTGGTCGACAACAAGTTTGCCTAATTCGATGGAGTTACATCTCTTGATTTGTATGGAACCTTGCTGTTACTTTCTTGGTTCAGATGTTGCAAACCTGAAATAACAGATCGAAATGTGAGCATTTGATATTGGTAAGGGTGTGTATGTAAGGAATGCCCAAATGTGAACATTATCAGTTCTATATAGTTCCCTGCATTTGAAACTCAGGAACTATGAAGCGGAATTGTACAGAGGTATTTACATGCAATTTGCTCCAACACTTCCATATCTTTACAACCCATGATTTGCAGAGTTGATCTAGAGTCCATTTCCCTTGCTCCATGTAATGAATTGCCCTACGGTACGCAGTCCATATCCACAAAACAATTCAAGTTAAAGTGTTAGACTGAATGCATTAGGATGATGTTTTGATCTTCAGTAGGTTAAGATTAGATTCATCCTGCTATGTTTGTTGGATAGGCTACATATTACATGCTGATGCTAGCCGTTAGGTTTTTGCGGTTTGAGTTAGCTAAGAGGTTATTCGATGGTAACATGTTGGAATACTTAAAGAACGATTTTTCTAATATATCATTTCTGGATTGTGTATGTTACAAAACTAATTATTGATTAATTAAACCTAACTTTGGTAATAGCACTTATTATTGGGCTGGCTGGCCCAACCCAAGTGCATGCACAAAGTTGGGCCTGCCTTTGCACATTAGAAATTTATCTGGGCTCGTAAGCATCGATCCATCATGCTAGGAGGACTGGAGGAGGTGTAAAACTGAAGCACTCGGCATGGCGTAAATGGAAAGCCTGTACTTTGAAAGAAGCAAAGCAAGAATTATTCATTCCCAAGCCATTTTCAGTCAAAAAAAAAAAAAAAAAATTGTCGGCCATTCATTATTCGCCGCATGCTGACAATAATATAGGGTTCCCAGCCGGGCCCGGTTTGGCAGCTTCCGTCTGTTTTACGCTTACCAACCTCCGTCAGTCACTCGGCGGACTCAGTGCTCACCTTTTTAACGCAGAGCTCACTGGTCAGTTGGAGGACCTATTCATTCTGCCATCTTCTGCTTCTTTGTAGATAACGGTTGGGCATCTTTCCAATTTCCAGTTTCCCTTTCTCTTTTCTGTCTGTTTTCTTTTGCTCCCGAATCTTCCTAATATCGATTGGTTGATGGGTTTAGGTGTGAGCACTTGCTAATTAACGGTTCTTCAACGGTTTGTTTAGGATGTTCAAATGCCATTACGCTAACGAGGACTAGGTAAATGATTAGTACTCTCAACTACTCAAATTATTGAGATCAATGAATTTTTTATATAATATTAAAGCCTTCTACTATCAAAAGATATTTAGTTAGTTTTGTGTCCGCTATTTATTTACTCTTAGCACTCCTTTTGCCTTTCCTTTTGTTTTGCTCATTAGAGGTCTTTTCATGCTTAGAACACAAGAATGGTTCTTCTTCAGATACCATATTCAGTCTACACAATAGATAATAGCAGGAAGTGGAAAACTGTTGCTTCATTTTAATTTTTTTGCAATAAGAGTGAAAGTAGGAAGGACATTTTGGTCTTCGCAATTTATTCATTAAAAAGACACGTACTGGGATTCAAACCATAACCACTTTAAAGAAAAGCAAAGATCATAACCAATCACACTTAGTACATTTTTTTGTATATTTTTAAATTAAAAACATATAATAGCAGGTGGGAAAAAAACCATTATGTCATTTCAAATTCCCTTCTCTAGGAGCGTTGGTAGGAAGGTAGAGGGAGTGTCAATTTTTTTTTCTTTCCTCTATGGAACGGGCCAACTTACCGTACACATGCGGATTTAAACGAGCCCAGAAGTATCAATTTTTTTTCTTTATGGCCTTTTATTTCTCGGTGTTGGTAAAATATATATGAAAGGGCAAAAACAATACTCTTTTTATTGATAAAAAGAAAAAATTCAAAATAAACTAATGCATGGATTCTATAAGCTAACCGCTAATATAAAATAAAAGAGATGAATGGGTCTGACCTACACGGGATTTGGCCATCAAATAAAACAAATGGACAACTTGGGTTTGCCATTCTAAAACAAACTATTTTCTCTAGCATAATGCTATTATTTTATATCTTAGTGGCTAAAATATAATGTATTTTAAAGTTATTAAATGGTTCAACCTCGACCAACCCAATTAGTCCAATTTTTATCATTTCAAATATACATTATGTAATTATTTGATATCATAATGATTAAATTATAGTGTATTTTATAGGGAATCGTTTGGTATTTGTTAGTAAAAAACTAAACAGAAAGATCTATTGATTATTTTTAACATTAAAACGATCCTAAACATTTTCAGTTTCCTTTCGAATTTCTATGATTTTATTCTCGAATCAGTGATGTGCAAATGGCGAATTGCAGTAATCTCTTTTCTTTCACTATTTTTTTTTTCAAATAGAAAGTTTAAAAGTAAAGAATAATTAGAGTTTGGCATGGGTCAGTGAAACAGGTTGAATTTCAAGTTTTGGCCCGTTTTGATCAAGTCTAATTTATAATCACATGGTTCCCTGATACTCGATAAAAATCTCAATCCAAACCAGTTCGGTAGGTGAGTTCGTGTTTACCGCCATTTTCTAGGGATATAGGAACGACGGTTCCTATCCCAAATCGTGTTGTTCGTTCTTGATTTCTTTAGATTTTATCATGGCCTGGCAAAAACCAGAAAGCACAATGACGACAAGATGAAAGTTTTATAAAGCAAATTAATCGGTCAATGGGTCGAGTAAAAGCTAGCAACGATTGTGAGATGCTCATTTTCTCGAAAATCGGAGGGATAGGCGATTTTTTATTCAATTTTCTGGAATTCGGTTTTTATAAAACTTACTCCACCTCATCATATTAGCAGAAACAATATTGTTTCACAAGGTAACAGGTTCTTGATTTTAGTTTAGAAGGCTGATTTTGGATTCGTTGCATCATCCATATGTCTCTTTCCTCCTAAAATTCACTATCTTTATCACGTGCTTTCAAAAAAAAAAAAATTATACAACAATAAACTATACACCCCATTACATTATCAAATTTCATAACTCACCTTCCTCCGACCAACTGGTCGAGGTCACCGGGGCCTCAGTTAAGATTGTTCAAACAAATTATAACTAAGTAATTACTAGTTAATCATTTAAACTATACCCATCGGCATAGTTAGTAAATACTCCGTTTAATACACGTATATGTACCCGTACGTACTTTATCCGTTTAAAACTTCCGTATCCGTATTTTTGTCAAGCCGTTTCATTTTTGTCCGTTCATTTGGTGGCTCCCGTACTAAACGCGTATAAAATCCGTATAACACGTTTTATATCCGTATTTAATGAATTAAATTGTTAACTTTACTATTATTTATATATTTATTTATTTTAAAAAATAATTTATTTTATATATTTATGACTATTAACGTACTATTAAACGTAACATTAGCTTAGAAATGAAGTAAAATACCCGTACGTATTATATCCGTAACTTTCCCGTACCGTATTTTACTAACTATGCCCATCGGAATCATGAGGGGTATTATTTCAGGAACTAAAATTGATGTTGGCCACGAGCCCACCACTACTAAATGAAGAAAACATAATAGCTTTATTTTCGTTCTTATACTTAATATATAACCTCGCAGCATAACTATGTGATATTTTTACATTAGGCAGTACAATCTGCAGATCGTCTATATCCTTATTATTAGAAAAATAAGAGGGAGAAACGTAACTATGGCTCCACCACCACCCATCATCGCCACCGTGCATCATGATTGCTATTCTTTTCCCTTTAGTTATCTTAAAGCTTCGTTTTTCAAATAAAGGTTATAGTTTAGTTGGTAACAAAATTGTCATTTGAGTTCACTTTATACTATTACTGATTGCCACTGAGTCGGTGCCAAAAATCAACAATGAACCCACTTCGACGGGCAGCCACTGTGATAGAATGCCCACCTACCCCACCCACCACCACTACCTTCTAAATTCCACGTGAATGTGTACACCCTATCAATGTTGTCGACCGATTTTGGCCCATTGGTCCGGTCAAGCAAATGAATTGCGAATTGCTTTTAGTGAGCTAATCATTTTAGCTTCGGTTGAGTACGGATATATAAAAAAAATTCTTATATTGTTCATGCATTTATAAACTATATCAAATTTCATTTACATACAGATAATAAAATATAATATTACATAAAAAAAGAGAGTTACACAAAATAAAAAACCCGAAAAAAGCATATTTTACAAACCAAAAAAAAAACGACATCAATTGACCTCCAGTTCGAGTAGTTTTCTGCGGGTCGACCCACGAGTCTATGATGCATGTTTCCCCATCAGACTCGAACCGGTTGACAACCTTCATATATATAGACATAGATGTGTGTACTTGGGGAACGCCACTTCTTCCTATCTAGATAGCCACTCACTCATCACTCCCATAAAAAAATAAAAAAAAAACATAAAAAAAAACAGAGGAGACAACACAACACACCTTATCCCCCACCACCATCTCCAACGTCCTCGCCGGAAAATGGCGAAGCATCTGATCCCGACCCGATTCGTCGTCGTTTCGACCGTCCTTCTCTTCCTCTGCCAGTTCATCTCTTGCCAGGAAGAAGAATATGTCCGGAGCCTGAACCCGAAGCGGCACCTGGGCGGCATGATGAAGAAGCAAAAACTGAGCCACTTCAAGTTCTACTGGCACGACACCTACAGCGCCCCCAACGCCACCGCCGTCCCCATCATCCAGCCGGCGGGGCCCTCCCCGACCGGGTTCGGGTCCGTGTCCATGATCGACGACCCAATCACCGTGGGCCCGGACCTCAAGACCTCCAAGCTCGTGGGCCGGGCCCAGGGCCTGTACGGCATCGCGTCCCAGCACGAGGTGGCGCTGCTGATGGCGATGAACTTCTGGTTCGTGGAAGGGAAGTACAACGGCAGCTCCATCAGCATCATGGGCCGGAACCAGGTGTTCAATAAAGTCAGGGAGATGCCCATCATCGGCGGGAGCGGGTTGTTCCGGTTCGCCACCGGCTACGCCCACGCTTCTACCCATACGTTCAATCTGACCAACGGGGATGCGGTTGTGGAGTACAATCTCTATGTCCTGCATTATTGATCGATCCTACGTTCGTCGCCGCCGGACTAATTATTCTGTGTTTGTTGTTTTACTTTTGTGTTTTGAGTTTTTTTGGCGTGTGCTGTGCTAGAGAGGAATCCAATGTGTTTTTTTTTTCTTTTTGTCTTCTTCAATTCCCCTTTTTACGAATTATTAGTATGTATAAGTACTAAAATGGGGGAACTATATGGTGTTGGTTCCGTATTTGACAATATGAAAGCATGATTGACGGTGGTTGTTTAGGATCGATAGTGCAATTAATTAGCTGTTCCCCTATCATAATTAAGCCGCTTTTTGGTAGCTTAAGCTACATTTAATTGGAGCCCATTCCTTGTTATAACATGGTATGTGAATTACTTGCAAATAATATTCTATGTTAAAAATTGGTTAGTCTCGATCAATATAATCAGTAACTAGGGAGGGCCATTAAACCCAAACCAACGGGCACCCACCATTCCTTGTTAACCGGGTTAAAATTTAGTGTTGAAGGGTTTTGGGTCCTGTGGTTGTTTTTTACCCGCTTTTGAAATTGGTGGGTGGGATGATCAGGTTTGGATTTTGCCGAAACTCAGCTTGCTTTCCACCCGACCCAAAACAAAATAAAATGAGTCATTGGCAAATGTTATTAGTCTTTAAATATAAACCTATTAGCATGGATAATCTATGGATGTTAGCCATGTTTAGGAGATATATTTATAAGAAAATTTTCAAAAACATTATGTTGTGGGTTGTTGAAGAAATGTATGATTATTTTTTGAACCCATGGGTATCCAAGCAACCGTGGATACCGGTTGGGTTGAGTTTCATTTCACTTCTAAAATCCAATGACTATTTCACCGGATTTTTAATGGTGCACCAATCTTGTTTAGTTTGTGTTTAGAGAAACCTGATCCAACCCGGTTCATTGTCATTCCTAAATGTTACATTGGTAATAATTAAATCTTATATCATTCACAAATTCACTAACATGTACACTTCGTCAAATGAAACCAAAATCATGAGCTTTAAGCAAATGTTAATACTTGGATTGTGGGGATACAAGATCTCTTTGTTATACAAACTCTAATGCTACAAGAACCAGTAAGTCTCAACTCTCAATAACTTGAATGATTGAAACTAAATTATTTTTGGCTACATTCGAATTTCCTCGGTACAAATATGCAAATTCAATACATCTAACATATTTCTAAAAACTGTAACCAACACACATGACACATCCATACAAACCTTAAGTGGTTGACATTCTCACTAAGGCCATTTTCTCTGCAGAGGGTTGGGAGTTGGGACGCTAAAAAGCAAGCTTGACGTTAGCATTATGGAAACATATACCCCAGCTGCAAACAAAGGTGCATTACCTAATGAAAACAACACAAAGTGGTGCCATAAATATCGAAAGAATAATACAGCTGAACCAATTGATAAAGGCACTGAAACTATAAAGCTCAAAAGTTTTTTCAGTACAGTCTAGCTAAAGCAACCTAAATAAATAGATCGTGTTATCTAGACAGCCACGACGTTTATTTATTCAAAGCAATATATTTAGCTCAATTGGGTTTTGTTCAGAGCTTATGAAGGATGAGTCGAGCACCGAATTGTGGCTGAGGTATGGGAGCCTCCGTGGAAGGAGCATGGACATAAGATGGTGCAAGCTCAAAGGAAAACCTCTTCAGTATGATTACCAAAGCCATCTTAGCCTCCATTAGAGCAAAATTCTGGCCTATGCAAATTCGAGGTCCCCATCCAAAGGGAAAGTAAGCACCCTGTTGATTAGGGTTCTTTGTCGCCTTAGAAATTCCATCAACAAATCTCTCAGGGTTGAACTCCCCCGCGTCGCTCCCCCAGATCTCGGGGTCCTTGTGGACGAGGATCGCCGGCAGGGCCACCTGAATCCCTGTCGGCAGGACAAAGTCACCCATCTTCGTCTCTCTCTCGATAGCTCGAGTCAGTTGCATCAGAGGAGGGTACAACCTCATAACCTCGTGCAGGATCATAGTCATGGTCTTTAGCCGGCTGAGGCCACTGGAGTCGAGGGTGGTGGCACTGACATCGTCAGTGCCAAAGACGTGCAAGACCTCATGTCTTGCACGCTCTTGCCACACGGGATACTTGCTGAGAAGGATCATTGTCCATACCAGCACCGCGGAGGTAGTCTCCTGGCCGGCAAAGTAAAACAACTTGCATTCCTCGATAACATCCTCTAGTGTCATCCTTCCGTTTTTACCACTATTGTTGTTTGATTCCATCAATAGGCCGAGCAAGTCGTTGTTGGAGACTACCTCACCCATTCTCATCGCCTTCTCTCTCTTGTTGATGATCTCCTGTATCGCTTCTTGGATTTCCTTGTGCACTTGTTTCATCCTGGTGTTTAGCTTGGTCGGCACGAACCTTGCCAGAGAAAGAAAAAAAAAACACAAATGAGAAACGAATGTCGTCATGTTCGAGTGAGTTTCATATATTTAATTACCTCCATCCTGGTATGTAAACTTGTCGGCCAATCTGTACAACGAAAAAAGTCAATTCTCTTAGCAGTTCGAAAATTCTCGTCCCTTCTTTGTAACTGCTTCCAAATGCCGTTCGAGAAATTACATCACATGTCATGCTCTGTAGACAAGGCCACACATCCAATTCACAGGAGTTTGTTTCCTTAGACTTCACCGCCCTCTCCCACTCGTCAACAATTTCTTTGCAGCTTCCATAAAACACTGGCACCATCAACTAAAAAAAAAAGGCACAATTAAATGAGTGAGTCCTATTACAAGTTTATATTTATGGACAATCCATTTTAAGTATTTATAAACCATCCAAAAGATTCTCATTATTGGGTCCAATTCTAACTCATATTATCTGAAACCACCCTGACCCTAATCCATTCCTCTCCATAGTTTCCAAACAACAGGTTCAAGAATATATAATCTTGATGGAGTTTGGATGAAAGTTACTGTTTTTTGTTAAAGTAGACCGTATTCTCTACAAATACGAACATGTCAAATATAAAACTATACAATCACCGATTCGTTAGTAAACCGAAACTTCAATGACCATTTATGTACACAATTACCTTCAACTTCTCCTGGTGGAATGCAGGGTTAAGGATTCTTCTGTGCCGTGCCCATTTCTCGCCGTTGTAGATTGCAATTCCGGTTGCTAACAGCCTCATCAGTGGGTTGGGCCTCGACTTTGGATAATCATCTATTTTGGTGAGCACTTCTTTTATATGCTCAGGGTTCATGATGTTCACCCTTGGCACTGGCCCAACCCATGTGAACGATTTCTTCCCTGCAATTTGGAGATATCATTTATTGGTCATTAATTACTATAAATAAACAGACTTAATTATCAATTTTCGACCAAAATACCAATTAAGTTATTAATATTAAAAAGTGGGAAAAAAAATCTACAGAAGAAATATAAGGTGCTTGACCTTAGGATGCTCCGTCGACGAAGCAGTCACTAAACTTTCATTTCTTTAACAAATTCATCCCTAATGTTAAACCATTTATCTGCTTGAGGTGAATTTCCCACATAAACCCTTATCAACATAAATCCTTATCAACACCCATATAACCCTATAAATTAGTGCTTGTGTGAGAGAGGGAAGCCGCAACATAACAAGCCACTTCGACTCTTTCCTGCTGCTTAATTGACCAGAGATTCTATATTGATTAGCTGAATAAGGTATGCTGATCACCTAGGTATCGATCGTCGTCCATATTGATAAGACTTACGATTAGATTGTTTATAAACAAAATTTAAAGTATAGTGACCGATTTCTCAACTAACCCAAGTTTAGTGACCGTCTAAGCAAAATACCCTACAAATCATAGATGAGAGAGGGAGAGAGAGAGAGAGAGAGAGAGAAAAAAAACTCCCCCGACGGACATACATATTACATACCGTAGGTCTTGACGGTGTGGTGAGGGAAGGGGAAGACACGGAGGGCAGCGTCGTCGGAGATATCCAACTGCCTTGACTTGGCTTCTTTCACCATCTCAAGAGCTTCCTTCATGTCGCCCTTCAGAAACCGGTATGGCCGGCCGTCGAAGCCCTGGCTCCTCAGGTACCTCTCCAGCCTCTTGGGCCTGATCCACAGCCAGTTCATGACTCGCCATAGCGACGCCGTCACCGCCACCGCAACCACCGCCGAAACCACTGCCCATATTGAATAGCTACCCGTTTCCATTATATTTGAAGTGATAATTTTTGCTGAGTGGAGTGCTACCCTTTAAATACTGAAAGATAGACAACGTGGATCGGAGAAATTTATGGGGTCAGGGGCCTCAGGCCCAAAGCCCGGTGACAGATCCCCTTCCGTCATTTAATTTCCTCGACCACAACCGGTAGATACCCTTAGAATTGGCGCCAATATACTTGTCCTGCTTCTTTCTCCGGGATCCTGATATTTTACAAGGTTAATTGCTTGGTTCCTTTCGAAGCTGGAAACAGGATTTTGCCGCGAAAACCACTTATATTAACTTCAATTATTTTTGTTGTGACATATATTTATCTGTGCGATTAATGTATTCCCAGACCAGATTAGATTATCAGGCCAAACTAGCATTATGTTTCCAACGTCATCATGTTCGTAGTTTGATGGGTAGATTATCAGGACCAATCCTTTGTTCAAGGTTCCCTATGATTCACTCTTTTTGGTCGATAACAAGTTTGCCAAATTCAATGGAATGACATCTCTTGATTTGTATGGAACCTTGCTGTTACTTTCTTGGTAGATTTCAGGTGTCAAAAATTTGAAATAGCAGATTGAAATGGGAACTTGTGTTATTATGAGGGTGTGTATGTAAGGAATGCCCAAATGTGAACATTATCAGTTCTGTATAGTTCCCTGCATTTGAAACTCAGGGACTATATGAAGCTGAAGTGTCCAGAGGTATTTACGTGCAATTTGCTCCAATACTTGGTTATCTTTACAACCTATGATTTGCAGAGCTGATCTAGAGCCTAGTTCCCTTGTGCCCTGTAATGAATTGCCCTACACAGTCCAT